AGAGTTGCCTCTTCACTGTTGATGTTGAGACTGGTTTTTTGCGGGTACTATTTAATGAAGCTGCCAGTTGAGGACCTGTGAGGCGCCTGTTTCTAATACTAGACACTCTAATGTATTTGTCCTCTTGCTCAGTTGTGCACCGAGGCCTCCCACTCCTCTTTCTATTCTGGTTAGAGCCCGTTTGCGCTGTTCTGTGAAGGGAGAATTACACAGTGTTGTACGAGATCTTCAGTTTCTTGGCAATTTCTCGCATAGAATAGCCTTCATTTCTCAGAACAAGAATAGACTGACGAGTTTCAGAATAAAGTTATTTGTTTCTGGCCATTTTGATCCTGTAATCGAACCCACAATTGCTAATGCTCTAGATACTCAACTAGTCTCAAGAAGGCCAGTTCTATTGCTTCTTTAATCAGCACAACAGTTTTCAGCTGTGCTAACATAAATGCAAAAGGGTTTTCTAATGATCAATTAGCCTTTTAAAACGATAAACTTGGATTAGCACACACAATGTGCCATTGGAACACAGGACTGATGGTTGCTGATAATGGGCCTCTGTACGCCAATGTAGATATTCCATTAAAAATCAGCAGTTTCCAGCTACAATAGCCATTTACAACATTAACAATGTCTACACTGTATTTCTGATCAATGCTTTTCTTTCGAAAACAAGGACATTTGTAAGTGACCCCAAACATTTGAACGGTAGCGTATGTTTCTATGAATATATGTTTCTATGTATATACATTTCTATATATATCTTTTTAATGTAGATGATTAGACAGACTTTGTGGATTACAGATTGAATTACATGCTTTGATTAATATTATGTTTTTTTAACATCACAGTTCTTAATAAAAGTCAATAAAATCAGGACTAGTTCTGTGTTAGATGTGTAGTTCTATACACAACAATGACTCTAGTCACTAATATATAAATGTAATAACATGATGTTCTACTTGATGGTGTTTCATTCAAGACAACATTCACTTTCCTGTAGCTCTCAATACTGCCCTCCATAAACATGAAAACAGAGTGGGAGGAGCACCAAAGTGTCATCTCTCAGAAGTGGTTTCATGAAACTCGCCAGGCTCAACGGATGCAAAACTATGAAGAGAAATGGCATACTGCTCTGAGAAAACTGGTCTCACTCAATGGCCTTTTTACATTTGACATTTTAGTCATTTAGCAGACGCTCTCAGCCAGAGCGACTTCCAGTTAGTGCATTAATCTTCAGATAGCTAGGTGGGATAACAACATAACACAGTCATAGTAAGCACATTTGCCTCAATGAAGTAGCCATCAACAAAGTCAGAACTAGTAAGGGGGAAAAGAGTCAAGTGTGAGAGGTGCTGTGGGATATTTTAAGATACTCTTTGAAGAGGTAGAGTTTCAGAAGTTTTTGGAAGATGGGCAGGGACTCTGCTGTCCTAGCTTCAGGGGAAGCTGGTTCCACCATTGGGGTGCCATGACAGAGAAGAGCTTGGACTGGGCTGAGCGGGAGCTGCCCTCCTTAAGATGAATGCACGAACTGGAAGTCGCTCTGGATGAGAGGGTGGGAGGGCCAAGAGACCAGAGGTGTCAGAACAAATAACTCAGGTTGGGTTGTAGGGTTTGAGCAGAGCCTGAAGGTAGGGAGGGGCAGTTCCTCTTGCTGCTCCGTAGGCAAGTACCATGGTCTTGTAGTGGATGTGACATGGGAAGGTTGAACATCAGACGGGTTGTAGCGTTTTGGATAAGTTGCAAGGGTTTAATGGCACAAGCCGGGAGCCCAGCCAACAGCAAGTTGCCTTACACCATAAGGTCAAAGTTGTTAAAAAAAGGTAAACTTCTTCCACAGCGACGGGAAAGTGTCTTCATAATCAAATCAATTCAATAATTTCAAATAATACTATGATTGAAGACCTATAGATCACATTACTGAAACTCTGATCACTTAAAACACTGTAAATGATTTGCAATACTTTAACATTATAATGTTTTTTATTTACAGACCCACATTCACAATATATTATATAACAATTGCAAATGATGACTTTGAACCTTTAGAAAGAAAGCGTCACATATCCAGAATATTACAAAGAAAGAAAGCGTTACATATCCAGAATAATAAAAATAAAGCGTCACATATCCAGAATAGTATAAAGAATGCGTCACATATCCAGAATAATACAAATAAAGTGTCACAAACCCAGAAAAATACAAACGCTTCACATATCCAGAATAATAAAAAAGAGAGAAAGCGTCACATATCCAGAATAATATAAAGAAAGTGTCACATATCCAGAATAATATAAAGAAAGCGTCACATATCCAGAATAATATAAATCCTACTTCATGCTGTGCTCCTATACAGTACCATAAGGTCCTCAATGTGCTCCATTCAATGGTGCCAGGACAGAAAGAGCAACATCAGACCAGCAGTGTGATGGAAGTTCTTGTGCTGTATTAAAGCAGTAGGCTGTAGGTCTGGCCATTTTCACAATAAGACTAAACTACTGTATAAAACAAGTATACAATCTGTAGAATCAGTTCTAGAAGGAGGATTTGGCTGTTGTGGTTCTTCTTGTATCCTTCCCTATCAAACATTTTGAGGAAAACATTTGTTTGTCGTATTCAGCAGATTTGATCGCAAATTGCTTTACAGTACAAAGTTTAATATAAATCTGTGTTGAACTGCCAATAGTAAACAACTTTTGTTTAAATCAAATTCAATTCTGGCAGTTTTTCAACGCACAATCAAATATTATGTGAGGCATTTATTGTTAGCACATAGGGAAACACATACTGCAGCTCTAATTAGTCCCGTTTGGACATTCTTCTGACAGTAAAAATATATCATATTTAAAAAAATCTGACAAATTTGAGAACTAGAAACACAAGCAGAGAGATCCACCGCTCATTTATACACTTGCATGCAATAAACAGAGATGTTAACACTGGAGAGTGAAGACATAGAGGGAATGGGACGCATCAATAAAACAAAGTCACTCACATTCATTGTCATTTTTTAAATCCACAACAAATCTTTATCAGAAGAACAAATTATTTAGTATAAAAACACCAATCTAACTTATTGCAGAACATCCTGGGGCAGTGTTAGTGGTCTGTTATAAATAGCTTCTTACTCTGAAGTAGGCAGAATACTGTAGTTTACACTGTCTGTTGAAAGGAAGTTAAACTGCTCTAACAAGCAAGAGGGGTACAGTATTGATAACACTAAACAGTGTGGAAGATATATGGTAAATAACGACAGTCCTCATTGGAAGAACCTAAAGAAGTGCTTTGATGCTCCTCCCACATCCAGTATTATGTTCTATTATGTACATATTTATGTTACTATTACTTTGATTACTTGCTATTTCTGACTGGACTCTTAATGTTATTATTAATATTAATGTACTGCATTGATGAGGGAGCAGTGTTGAGGGAGAAGTGTTGAGGGATAATTGTTGAGGGAGCAGTGTTGAGGGAGCCGTGTTGAGGGAGAAGTGTTGAGGGAGAAGTGTTGAGGGAGAAGTGTTGAGGGAGAATTGTTGATGGAAAATTGCTGATGGAGAATTGTTGAGGGAGCATTGTTGAGGGAGTTAGCATATAAGCATTTCACTGCACATTTTATGCCTGCTGTAAACTGTGTATGTGACTAATAAAATTTGATTTGAGTACTCATGTTAAATATACCTGTTTCAACAACATGTAACTATGTATTTGTGTATAGTATTGAAGCCCAGAAATGGCAGTTTGCTGCCCAATCATATCATCACATGAGGTAAGGGGCTATTCAGACCAACGGTCAGCCATTTAATCATTTAAACCTGTGAGGGCAAAGTATGGTTTCCTCTGTTGTCTACGTTAAATGTGCTCTTGAGGTGCCATGATCATGTGGTAGTGGATTATCAATCTGGAACACACCATAAGACATTCATTATCAAAAAGAACATTTCACGCTTTGTGAATGCTTTCCCACTTCTCATGATCCAATGTGTTTCAAGTTAACAAAAATATAGATATTTTGGCATTATAATTCCCCTTCAAGGATACATGGTACATCTTTAATGTTTCCATCATAGCTTTCAAGTCCGGGTTCAGAGAATAAACTGTATGGCTGTGTGCAGCGGTATGGTGTACTGTTAAGTCTAACTGAATAAAAAAGTAAAGTGTAAGGAAAACTGTAGGTGGCGATTACTGCGAGTGCTTTACAGCCGCGGGAAGATGATTATCAGGGTGCAGCAGCACACTCAGCACGCCTACTTCCTGCGGCTATACTTTACAGATTGAATCCTACTCATAGATCCATTGGTACTAATTGTGCCTCTGCCAAGTACTGTAGTATGACAAAAACAAGAAAGTCAGAGAAGGACGTGTGGCGAGACAGCATGACACGGCTAAAATGTTCCTGAAACGCACAGCATATACAGTACATACATGAGACAGTGACATAGTGTGACGTTACTGTGATTTGCTTGTGACGGAGTTCAGAGGAGGCATAAAACTGATTTCAAGTAAAGAGATGAGATGTGGCGGGCGGGCAGGAGGGCGGGCGGGCTCGTGGTTCCTCAGGCCGGTCGGTGGGCGTCCCTCTGTGTCCCCACGCAGCCGGCTGGTAACCCACCGGTGTCACTCAGAGAGACGTCTCACTCAAACCCTCCTGCTCTGGAGTTCAGCTGGGGTCAGAGGTGGAGACGAGAGGTTAACTGACTTCATTCAAAAACAAATAGTAGGGAATAAGAGAGATGAAATAGAAAGATTGAAAACTGACCCTTATTACAGAAGCCCATGCCTGTCCAGCTACAGAATCTCTGGCATTGAGTACTAGCAGGCCTTAATGAAATTCCTACATCTCCCACCCGATGGCAGTCCTACATGAAATTGCTACATCTCCCACCTGATGGCAGGCCTTCATGAAATTCCTACAACTGCCACCAGATGGCAGGCCTGATCTGAGCTGAGTGTCTCCAGTATAGAGAGTAAAGGAGAGGTGAGGAGACACTCACCAGACTGGCTTACTTGGTGATGGCGGAGGGTGATCCAGAGCGGTGGAAGTGGACTATTTGCCACTTGCCGTCACGGCGGTGCCAGATTCGTGTCTCCTCAGACTGGGCGGTGCGGGGCATGCCGTTGGTGTCAATGTACTGTGTGATACGGATGTAGGCGATGCAAGCAGCTTCCTCCCCGATCAGGTGGATATGGGGGTTCAGGATGGTGGTGTGGACAGGCTTACTGTTCTTAGACCACACTGGGGGAGGAGTAGCATACACACAAGACAACAGTCAGTCAATGAATAAGTCATTCTATAACTGCAGGAGTTTTCACACTGGTATGCCATATTCTCTCTCACTGATGATAATGCTGTCCTTTATCAATGCTTTACAGAATTTATATTTGAGAGGGTTAATTCATGTATTTGTGTCTCTTAGACTGCCACTCTCTCATTATGTTTCTCCCCTTTTCTCTCCATTTCTCTCCATTTCTCTCTTCCTCCATTTCTCTCTTCCTCTCTTTCTCTCTTCCTCTCTTTCTCTCTTCCTCGCTCTGTCATTTTCCCAATCAGTCCAATCAGGCCCATTAGAGCTGTTTCCTCTGGCTGGGAGAACAGTGGCTGATATGAGAGGATTTGAGCGGAGCGGAGCAGGGTTCATCCATTACTCATCACAATGAGCCAAAAGTGTTCAGTCTGCAGCCACTGTAGCAGATAATGGCCCCAAGGTTCTGTTCTCCACAACTTCCTGTAATCCTAACCACATCTCATGAAATAGAAATTACATTTTGTCACCTATTATGGATACCATAAGCTAGAGCTTATGAGCACATATAAAGGACTATTAAAGCATATTCCAAAATACATATTATAAACTGAGTGGTTCGAGCCCTGAATGCTGATTGGCTGACACGGGTATGAAAAAAAAATGTTTTTTACTGCTTTAATTACATTGGTAACCAGTTTCTAACAGCAATAAGGCACCTCAGGGGTTTGTGGTATATGGCCAATATACCACGGCTAAGGGCTGTATCCAGGTACTCCGCATTGCATCGTGCATGTGCCTGTGCCATTAAATCCCTACAACTCATCCAGAACGCCGCATACCGTCTGGTGTTCAACCTTTCCAAGTTCTCTCACGTCACCCCGCTCCTCCGCACACTCCACTGGCTTCCAGTTGAAGCTCGCATCTGCTACAAGACCATGGTGCTTGCCTATGGAGCTGTGAGGGGAACGGCACCTCCGTACCTTCAGGCTCTGATCAGTCCCTACACCCAAACGAGGGCATTGCGTTCATCCACCTCTGGCCTGCTGGCCCCCCTACCTCTGCGGAAGCACAGTTCCCGCTCAGCCCAGTCAAAACTGTTCGCTGCTTTGGCACCCCAATGGTGGAACAAGCTCCCTCACGACGCCAGGACAGCGGAGTCACTCACCACCTTCCGGAGACACTTGAAACCCCACCTCTTTAAGGAATACCTGGGATAGGATAAAGTAATCCTTCTACCCCACCTTACCCCACCCCAAAGAAAAAAAAGAAAAAAAGAAAAAGAAAGAAAAACATATTGTAAAGTGGTTGTCCCACTGGCTATCATAAGGTGAATGCACCAATGTGTAAGTCGCTCTGGATAAGAGCGTCTGCTAAATGACGTAAATGTAAATGTATATGTGCATAAGAACAGCCCTTAGTCGTGGTATATTGGCCATATACCACACCCCCTCATGCCTTATTGCTTAATTATACCATAGTGTGTATAATATGTATACACTCCCTTCACTGGGAAAGTAAAGGAGTCATTAGTGCTGTAAAGAAATCGTTTTACAGCCCTCCTGTCTGTGTACAGCTCTAGGATTTGATGATATATCCCCAAAAATTCTACACAGGTTTCCTGTAGCTTGAAACTGTCTGTGTATAATGTAAAAGTATAATTTTGAAAGATATATATATAGAGGGAGGGAGGGAGGGAGGCAGGGAGGGAGGGAGGGAGGGAGGGAGGCAGGCAGGCAGGCAGGCAGGCAGGCAGGCAGGCAGGCAGGCAGGCAGGCAGGCAGGCAGGCAGGCAGGCAGGCAGGGAGGCAGGCAGGCAGGCAGGCAGGGAGGTAGGGAGGGAGGGGAGCAGCTTACAGTTCTCAAAGTAGAAGCGGTGGAAGTCCAGGCCCTCCACCAGGTTACCCAGAGCCTCTGGCTCAAATGCTGTCACACTGGGGTCACACATCTTCCTACAGGGGGAAGAGATGAGATGAGAGAGAGAGAGAGAGAGAGAGAGAGAGAGAGAGAGAGAGAGAGAGAGAGAGAGAGAGAGAGAGAGAGAGAGAGAGAGAGAGAGAGAGAGAGAGAGAGAGAGGCAGGCAGACAGATACGAGTCAGGGATAGAGACAGTGAGACAAAAGGAGAGAGAAAGAGCATGGGTTTTCTTCTTCTCTGCTCTTTGGAATGCTTCAGTGAAGCGATGAGGCTGACCCTCCATGCAGTATTACTGCTCACTTAGTATTTTGGGGCATGTGACTCGACACAGTGGAAAAAAGGCAGTGTTTTCCGTGTCCATGGCAGATTGCTGCATGGTTGTAAAAGGGTTGAGCATGCAGGGAGCAGATTCTTTCCAGGCCTTGGTAATTGGCAGACGGCGCTATCACGACTGTGGAACTATAACAACCACCGCAAAAACAATCCCTCCTGCCCTGGATGGGAATTTTACGCCCTGGGTTTTGAACAGGTGCTCTGATGAACCCCCCGGCTCCAAGTTGTGACAGACATGCGAGGGACAGGCTGGGGTGTTGTTACTCCCCTCAGGATGCCAAGTTTGGAGATAAACTGCTGCTGAATAGGACTTTATCTGGCGCGGTGCAGTGGGCTTGTGGGAGAGTCAAACTACTCAGACACTTCAGATTGGCTATTGGGATATTGACTATCACATTTACTGTTTACTCAGAGCTACATCAGCTAAAGTTTCATGAAATATAATGGCCTTGTTATTCATATGGTTCACATAGAGGGATCTATTTTAACAAACCTAATTTATGGTAAATCTAAGCGCTGAATGTAGTGCTATAGATCGGGGGGGGGTTCGAAATATTCAAGCTATTTTCACAGCCGTTATTATGAGTGCAATAGCTGGTGGTGGCGCGAAAGGGCTGGGTTTTGATGAATAGACAAGTTGTAGGCGTGACGAGGGCTTGGCCACTCACTGGCCAATCAAGGCATTCCATGGATGTGTTTGTCTCCAGTTCTGTAGGTTATTGACGGTCTTTGCGTTGTCATCAACTCCAATTCGGCTGGGGGCACGGAATTTTGTCGTCCTAGACCATTGTGGATTGATACTACCGTATATTAAATAGCATAGGCTACAGTAACTAGTATTAGTAACACACAAAAATAAAATCCAATGTTGCTCAATATGTTCGGAGTGTTGATTGTCAACATTGTTGTAATTGGCTTCAACGAGTATAGGCCTTTACGCGTCAGACTTCAACTCAAATAACCCATAAATGGTATTGTATGTGTGAGGCACATTCTCAATAAGCCAGATATACAGTGGGGAAAAAAAGTATTTAGTCAGCCACCAATTGTGCAAGTTCTCCCACTTAAAAAGATGAGGGAGGCCTGTAATTTTCATCATAGGTACGCGTCAACTATGACAGACAAAATGAGAAACAAATTCCAGAAAATCACATTGTAGGATTTGTAATGAATTTATTTGCAAATTATGGTGGAAAATAAGTATTTGGTCAATAACAAACGTTTCTCAATACTTTATTATATACCCAGTGTTGGCAATGACACAGGTCAAATGTTTTCTGTAAGTCTTCACAAGGTTTTCACACACTGTTGCTGGTATTTTGGCCCATTCCTCCATGCAGATCTCCTCTAGAGCAGTGATGTTTTGGGGCTGTCGCTGGGCAACACGGACTTTCAACTCCCTCCAAAGATTTTCTATGGGGTTGAGATCTGGAGACTGGCTAGGCCACTCCAGGACCTTGAAATGCTTCTTACGAAGCCACTCCTTCGTTGCCCGGGCGGTGTGTTTTTTGGGATCATTGTCATGCTGAAAGACTCAGCCACGTTTCATCTTCAATGCCCTTGCTGATGGAAGGAGGTTTTCACTCAAAATCTCACGATACATGGCCCCATTCATTCTTTCCTTTACACGGATCAGTCGTCCTCGGTCCTTTTGCAGAAAAAACAGCCCCAAAGCATGATGTTTCCACCCCCATGCTTCACAGTAGGTATGGTGTTCTTTGGATGCAACTCAGCATTCTTTGTCCTCCAAACACGACGAGTTGAGTTTTTACCAAAAAGTTATATTTTGGTTTCATCTGACCATATGACATTCTCCCAATCCTCTTCTGGATCATCCAAATGCACTCTAGCAAATTTCAGACAGGCCTGGACATGTACTGGCTTAAGCAGGGGGACACGTCTGGCACTGCAGGATTTGAGTCCCTGGTGGCGTAGTGTGTTACTGATGTTAGCCTTTGTTACTTTGGTCCCAGCTCTCTGCAGGTCATTCACTAGGTCCCCCTGTGTGGTTCTGGGATTTTTGCTCACCGTTCTTGTGATCATTTTGACCCCACGGGGTGAGATCTTGCGTGGAGCCCCAGATCGAGGGAGATTATCAGTGGTCTTGTATGTCTTCCATTTCCTAATAATTGCTCCCACAGTTGATTTCTTCAAACCAAGCTGCTTACCTATTGCAGATTCAGTCTTCCCAGCCTGGTGCAGGTCTACAATTTTGTTTCTGGTGTCCTTTGACAGCTCTTTGGTCTTGGCCATAGTGGAGTTTGGAGTGTGACTGTTTGAGGTTGTGGACAGGTGTCTTTTATACTGATAACAAGTTCAAACAGGTGCCATTAATACAGGTAACGAGTGGAGGACAGAGGAGCCTCTTAAAGAACAGGTCTGTGAGAGCCAGAAATCTTGCTTGTTTGTAGGTGACCAAATACTTATTTTCCACCATAATTTGCTAATCAATTCATTAAAAATCCTACAATGTGATTTTTTCTGGAAAAAAATGTATCAATTTGTCTGTCATAGTTGACGTGTACCTATGATGAAATTTACAGGCCTCTCTCATCTTTTTAAGTGGGAGAACTTGCACAATTGGTGGCTGACTAAATACTTATTTTCCCCACTGTAGCCTAAGCCTACCGTTGATACAGTGAGGGAAAAAGTATTTGATCCCCTGCTGATTTTGTACGTGTGCCCACTGACACAGACATGATCAGTCTATAATTTTAATGGTAGGTTTATTTGAACAGTGAGAGACAGAATAACAACAACAAAAAACCAGAAAAACGCATGTCAAAAATGTTATGAATTGATTTGCATTTTAATGAGGGAAATAAGTATTTGAACACTCTGCAAAACATGACTTAGTACTTGGTGGCGAAACCCTTGTTTGCAATCACAGAGGTCAGACGTTTCTTGTAGTTGGCCACCAGGTTTGCACACATCTCAGGAGGGATTTTGTTCCACTCCTCTTTGCAGATCTTCTCCAAGTCATTAAGGTTTCGAGGCTGACGTTTGGCAACTCGAACCTTCAGCTCCCTCCACATATTTTCTATGGGATTAAGGTCTGGAGACTGGCTAGGCCACTCCAGGACCTTAATGTGCTTCTTCTTGAGCAACTCCTTTGTTGCCTTGGCCGTGTGTTTTGGGTCATTGTCATGCTGGAATACCCATCCACGACCCATTTTCAATGCCCTGGCTGAGGGAAGGAGGTTCTCACCCAAGATTGCAATCACAGAGGTCAGACGTTTCTTGTAGTTGGCCACCAGGTTTGCACACATCTCAGGAGGGATTTTGTTCCACTCCTCTTTGCAGATCTTCTCCAAGTCATTAAGGTTTCGAGCCTGACGTTTGGCAACTCGAACCTTCAGCTCCCTCCACAGATTTTCTATGGGATTAAGGTCTGGAGACTGGCTAGGCCACTCCAGGACCTTAATGTGCTTCTTCTTGAGCAACTCCTTTGTTGCCTTGGCCGTGTGTTTTGGGTCATTGTCATGCTGGAATACCCATCCACGACCCATTTTCAATGCCCTGGCTGAGGGAAGGAGGTTCTCACCCCGTCCATCGTCCCTTTGATGCGGTGAAGTTGTCCTGTCCCCTTAGCAGAAAAACACCCCCAAAGCATAATGTTTCCACCTCCATGTTTGACGGTGGGGATGGTGTTCTTGGGGTCATAGGCAGCATTCCTCCTCCTCCAAACACAGCGAGTTGAGTTGATGCCAAAGAGCTCGATTTTGGTCTCATCTGACCACAAAACTTTCACCCAGTTCTCCTCTGAATCATTCAGATGTTCATTGGCAAACTTCAGACGGCCCTGTATATGTGCTTTCTTGAGCAGGGGGACCTTGCGGGCGCTGCAGGATTTCAGTCCTTCACGGCGTAGTGTGTTACCAATTGTTTTCTTGGTGACTATGGTCCCAGCTGCCTTGAGATCATTGACAAGATCCTCCCGTGTAGTTCTGGGCTGATTCCTCACCATTCTCATGATCATTGCAACTCCACAAGGTGAGATCTTGCATGGAGCCCCAGGCCGAGGGAGATTGACAGTTATTTTGTGTTTCTTCCATTTGCGAATAATCGCACCAACTGTTGTCACCTTCTCACCAAGCTGCTTGGCCATGGTCTTGTAGCCCATTCCAGCCTTGTGTAGGTCTACAATCTTGTCCCTGACATCCTTGGAGAGCTCTTTGGTCTTGGCCATGGTGGAGAGTTTGGAATCTGATTGATTGATTGCTTCTGTGGACAGGTGTCTTTTATACAGGTAACAAGCGGAGATTAGGTGCACTCCCTTTAAGAGTGTGCTCCTAATTTCAGCTCGTTACCTGTATAAAAGACACCTGGGAGCCAGAAATCTTTCTGATTGAGAGGGGGTCAAATACTTATTTCCCTCATTAAAATGCAAATCAATTTATAACATTTTTGACATGCGTTTTTTTGGTTTTTTTTGTTGTTATTCTGTCTCTCACTGTTCAAATAAACCTACCATTAAAATTATAGACTGATCATTTCTTTGTCAGTGGGCAAACGTACAAAATCAGCAGGGGATCAAATACTTTTTTCCCTCACTGTATGTGCATCCTCCTTGAGCAAATGAATGGTATGCACAGCTATTCATGATCAAGGGATCAGCTTGTTCAGCCTCCAAATGGCCTTGATTGGTCATGCAGACAGTTTTCTCCCTCCTTGATTAGAGGAATCTAGTCCCAGACATATGCACTGGGAGTGATCTATCTCTAAATCAGTAAGGAACATAGACCTACGGAGTTTTCACCTCACAACAACCTCAATGCCATCTTAGATTAACGTCTAAAGCCAAACCCTGAGTTATCAATGACCACTGTTACAGTTAAGACAAACCCTTAGTTATCAATTACACTGTTACAGTTAATACAAACCCTGAGTTATCAATTACACTGTTACAGTTAAGACAAACCCTGAGTTATCAATTACACTGTTACAGTTAAGACAAATCCTGAGTTTACGCCAAACCCTGAGTTAAGCCAATCAGACTGCTGTATCAGTAGAAGTGCATTGCATTAAGACAGGTTCGTTACCAACGTATGTTTCTAATCTATCTGTATCACTTCTCTACAGAAAGACAGTGAGTGAACAGTGGGTGAATGGATGCAGTATGTGGTCTGTTTACTTACGTATAGCTCTCAAAGTCTCCATTGCTGATGGCTTCTATGAGCTGCTCCGTTACCTTGATGATCTCCTGTTTCCTTACTGTGAAACACAGACACACAGCACTGACACAGCACTGACACACAGCTCTGACACACAGCTCTGACACACAGCACAGACACACAGCACTGACACACAGCACTGACACACCGCACTGACACACAGCTCTGACACACAGCTCTGCACTGAGAACTACTGACAACAACCACCATGAAGAATAGGACTGACACAGGAATAAATAAATAAATGAGTTGTTCCTGCTGTATAGCAACAGTTTTCATTTAGCTTTATAGACCTTCTTCATACAGCCCTGGGATGTGTGTGTGTATTGTCTGTCTGTTTGTGTGTGTGTGTGGGTTTGTGTATTGTCTGTCTGTTTGTTTGTGTGTGTGGTGTGTGTGTGTGTGTGTGTGTAGTGTGTGTGTGTGTGTGTGTGTGTATTGTCTGTCTGTTTTGTGTGATGTGTTTGGTGTGGGTGTGTGTGTAGGTGTGTTAGGTGTGTGTGTGTTGGTGTGTGTCGTGGTGTGTGTGTGTGGTGGTGTGGTGTGTGTTGTGTGATGTGCGTGTTGTGTTTGTGTAGTGTGTGTGTGTGTGCGTGTGTGTCTGCCTGCCGCCTCCCAGTGCTTTGTTGAGTGTGGGGGGCTGTTCTCTGCACACACTGAGAGTTGCACTGTGCCAGCAGGGAGAGAGCTTTACTCCCACCAGCTCTGGGTTGCAGCTCAGAGTTGGCAAAGCATATGGTGAAGAGGGTACGCTCACAGAGGTTACATCCTCACAGTTTGTTCTCCTAACTCACTCTTCCAGTAAATACAGAACTGGGAGAATTCAAGCAACTTGAGACATTTTAAACAAACTTCAAACACCTAGAAATCCGTAGAATATAAATGATATTTCACATACAGTAGCTATTAGAGACTATGCCAGTGATTTATTGTCAAAGTTTGCAAATGTGTTTATATCGTTTGTCATGCGCTTTAGGACGTCTTTCACCTCTCTCTCTCTCTCTCTCTCTCTCTCTCTCTCTCTCTCTCTCTCTCTCTCGGTCTTGTCTCTGTCTCTGTCTCTGTCTCTGTCTCTGTCTCTGTCTCTGTCTCTGTCTCTGGTCTCTGTCTCGTCTCTGTCTCTTCTCTGTCTCTGTCTATCTCTATCTCGCTCTCTATGTCGTATCTCTCTCTCTCTATCTCCTCTACTCTCTCTCTCTCTCTCTATCTCTCTCTCTCTCTCTCTCTCTCTCTCTCTCTCTCTCTCTCTCTCTCTCTCTCTCTCTAACCTTCCTTCATCGCCCTAACACCTCCAACCACTGCAGAGAACATTGTTCTATCTCTCGTCTCGCCCACTCTCCACCTACACAGTTTCTTTGCATCGCCCTAATTGCAGCTCTGCCACATGCATCTCCCTCCTCTCTGGAGAAATCACAATGACATTTTCTGGAACCACTCTTGTAGGAGGAGATAAAGTGTTGAAATGTATCCATTTGTTTCCAAAAAATCAATGAGCTGCTGTAGTCAAAGAGGAGCATTACCTCACAGGTCCGTCTCTTAGTAATAGGTGTTAGGTTTAGTGACAGAGAGAGAGAGAGAGAAGACAGGCTTTTTAGCTATTTATTCCCATTCCATAGAACACAGATGTTCAAACTGAAGAAGCCCTTAATGGCATGAGCAACAGCAATGCAACTCCACCACCAACCGTTATGTAACTGACTTATTCATATTCATTCATGAGAGTACCGCCTCAGTCAAGCTATTAAATGGGAGTCAATACAGTTGCTATTTGCATTGCTTTATGAACTGAAATGTTTTCACAGTAGTCAATCGTCATGGTAGACCCATCTCAAAAAACAGACGGCAGAGATTTTCAATCTGTTCTCCCCATCTGTTAGGTTGTCAGTCAGTACCCATGTAAGTGGACTGTAACTGAAGTAAGAGTGAACCTATCCACAGCCGTGTTGTGCTGGTTTTAGCGTTATTTATAGCTTTATGGAGTATCACTTTCTGAGCCAGAAAAAGCCATATCTCAACATCTCAATATGTGAGTGTGTGCAACGTATATGACCCCGTAGGGTATCTGTTTAGTCTAGCAGAGATCTACTCCTCCTGAAAGCTGTCACCCTGTCCTATTAACACATCCAGACTGCTAGTGGTGCGGCTGTGAGAGGTGAGAGGAGGGGATAACTTTACCTCTGGTGTCTTCGTCCTCAATAGTGGTGTTGGTGCTTTCAGAGGATTCCTAGAAATGACACACAGACGGGTTCAGAGATGCACACTCAATCACAGCAAGTGGTATTCTCTCCACACCAGGAAGTGGAAGAGCCGAGTCAACGCAACACACACATCTCCGACAGACAGACAGAGAGCCGCCTCACTGTCTGCACCTTTAAGAGAGAGAGAACAGGCTGTTTGGTTATTCCGAGGTCTAGGTGGTTAGGAGTAGGGAGAGATATGGGAGGGAGGGAAACACCTAGAGAAGGAGAGATGGGTTACCCCACGAGGAACCCCCAAGAGCATATCAAAAAGCATCGTGATTAGGCAACGTTAGAGATGGGATGGTCACACACAAAAACAAAAAGAAAGTCCAGCTCCATTTTGAATGACAGCTTTATTCGCTTGTTCATTGGTTCGTTTGGATTTTTTTAAAAGCTATTATCACTTTCCCTGTTAGGCGTAAAGCCGAGAGGCGCGGCCGAGATATCACACTCACCATCAGTTGGACGCTGGAACTGGACTTCCTTTTCTGGAAGAGAAATGAGAAGAGGTTAGACAGGAACACACAGGATGAGATGGAGACGCAAGCCAGGGAGCGACAGGGGGAGGAGAGGGACACCTCCATGCTGCAGAGGGAGGACATGTATCTGGGTTTGAGGCTCAGGATGTGTGTGTTTGTGTGTGTGTGTTTGGGGTTCGTGTTGCCAATGTTGCCCTTGTCGTCTCCCCAGGATACCTCTGTGAGCCGTCTGGTCGGCGGGCGGTTGTGGCGGTTGTGGCGGTTGTGGCGGTTGTGGCAGTTGTGGCGGTTGTGGCGGTTGTGGTGGTGTGTAGTGTAGGAAACCTCTGGGCCAGGCATGGCTGTGGTCAGGAAGGAATGCCTTTGATAAGGCAGAGCTGGCAGGGCTGTGGTCAGGGATGAATGCCTTTGATAAGGCAGAGCTGGCAGGTTTGTGGTCAGAGGCAGGGCTGTGGTCAGGGAGGAACTCCTTTGATAAGGCAGAGCTGGGTTGTGTGGCCAGCAGCATGCCTCACTAATCCCAGTATCAGACACCCTGGACTGGACTGGCTGCTCCTTAAGGTCCCAGCGGGAACTGGGGGAGTACCACAGGTGGAGTGTATCCCTGATACATGTAAATAGTAACTCACACAGGCTAACTCACAGAAACACACTTATAATAGCGGAACACTCACAAACAACACTAATAAACAGACAGACTCTCCTACTGGCTTTGATACAGATTAACTGTCAAAGCACTAATCCCATTAGATACCTATCTCATAGTACTGGACTGGACTGGACTGGAGGAGACGCTTTGGGTGGGGCCAGCCGGTGTGTTCAGAGAGAATGGAGCAGACAGTGAAACTCCCACAATCCCATGTTCTACTTGGATCTGTGATGTCACCTTTTCAAAGAGCATGTTTGATATATTCAGTTTTGCAGAGAAGTTGAAAATAGCTTTCACCTTCACAAAATGTTGAATAACGGCCAAATTTTGAAATCATGTTTTATGGACAGCGGATGGTATATACACTAAACAGCCAGTCCCCAAAAGTCCTCCTCCTCCAAGTTGACTCCACGGTGAGAAGAGAACCCTGTGGAGCTGGAGCCCTACCTTCACACCATCCGTCTTCTTGTTGGCCTTGTTACCTCCTGCGAGGGACACAAAGAGAAACAGGGCAATGAAAAAGGGCACAAACAGCCAAAAGAGGAGGGCGAAGGGCATGGCCAATAGTCTCAGTCAAATGAAAAGAGGTAGAAGTACATTTGAGAAGATCTGATCCATAAGTCTCCTGGGAAACAAAATATAATATTTTATTCAAATCAAGCCCTCTTCCTGATCTCCACTGATCAAAAACTCGATGAGACGGTCATATTGCTGAAGAGTCACTAGAAGTATCCAAACCCAGCGACTTGTTGAAGATTCTCTCAGGTCAGACAACTGGTCAAACAAGAGTTTTTAGGGAAATTAAGAAAATAAGAAAAACTCAAATTCTCAATAGTTCACTCTATAGTGTAACACCAGGGGTCCAGACGGGGCTGCCACAGAGGCTGGCCGGTTGGTGAGAGAGGTCCAGACTGGGCAGGCTGGCCGGTGTGTGAGAGGGATCCCTGATATAGGAGCACTTGAGATAGGGAGATAGCATGGGCACATTCCAGCCCTGCTCCCTCACTCTGTAAAGTTTGGCTATGACCCCTACAGTACACCACGTCCTGTTGTTCCCCTAGTGTTCTGGTCCAGTTTGTTACCGATCCTTCTACCTATCATCTTCACGTCCTCTCTTCCTCCTGGTCTCTGAGCTGGAATCATTTTCTGTCCTCTCTCTGAGAGCTGAGCCAGGGTGTTCCCCCCACTTCATTTTCATCAACATGACGACTAATTTTAGCCCTGGTGGGGGCCGGGGGCCGTGTGGAGCATGGGCCTCTCATCAGCTGGGGTGTAGCCTGATCCCTAGCCCCCCCCGGCCCCCCAGACCCATTGCTCTGTGACCCCACTCTCCCCTGCTGCTGGGGGTGTGGCTGTATACCTATGGGGGTCCCCCTGGCTTGGGAACCCCAAGCCCTGGCTTGAGATCCGCTTTCTCTACTCTCATCCAAATCACACCAATTATAATCTTAAAAGCAAATCTGGCCCCTGAACCAGCGTTTACACAGCACTTCCGACCCACCCAAGCATAATAGGAGTCAATAGGCTTTAGGAAAACCGCTATTAAAAGCTGAAAGGGCAGATTTGTCTCCCACCATAATATCTGAAAAGTGAGGGCTTTATAAATAGGCATGAGGCTGTAACCTTTCTGTATATCTGTGGACTGTGGTTCTCCACGGCTATCTGGAGGGTAAAGGTAGACCATTAAAGATGAATGGTAGTGCTTAGAGGTGCTGAGATGGTTTACCGGTCCTCCAGGGTGAGTCCTATGGGGCTTGGCTTCTGGACAGAATTCCCTGGCAGGTGGGGGGGTCTATTCCTGATTGGTATTAGAATGCCTAACCATTTAAAGATGGCCCCTCA